CTTGTATTACAGGTTATAAAGAAGATGTGTCTAAATTATCAGGCAATTTTGACAATTTTTCATTATTCTATGCACTACATCAAAAATTCCGAATATTTATGACGACCACTGTAGAAATCTAAATTTGTACATGTACTTACTTTACAGTATATTAATATCGATATGTTACTTGTGAAAAATAATTGTTAAAGTTCAAGGTTTTCATTTATGCCATTTATGATCGAATTAACTTACATCAACAATGTCGTACACCGCCGAATAAAAAATTAATTAATTGATAAGCAAACACGATCTTAATCTTGCAATTCAAATATTCCTGTACATGTATTACATTACACTAGACAGAAGTCTGGAATAGGAAGTTTAAAAATATGTTGTAGGTTCTTAAATACGATATAAAACGAGGAGAAAGAAATAACCCCTTAGCAAAAAGAAAATAACCATCTCAATCTACAAATTAACCATATTGTTAAAATGTCTAATTCTGTTGTTAATGCTAATTACGGCTATTTGAACCATAATGAATTGCTGATTTTAAGTAAATGTCCTTACCAATTAACTCTCTCTATAGACAAATTAACCAACCCAGCTATGAAAAAATGCGGTGATTCCGGGAAATCACCACGACCACAAAACAGCTGGATCATTTTTCGAAGAGATTATGAAGCGCGTTTACGTTTATTTAATCGGCACACTAAACAAAAAGTTAAAGAAACAGCAAAAGAGTGCAGCCTAAAGTGGCGAACACTATCAAGCGAAGACAAGTATTTCTTCAAGATTTTAGAGAAGGTAGCTTGCGAGAAACATAAGAACTTATATCCTAATTATAAGTATAATCCAAGAAGCTTAAAAGATTCAAGCATTAAGAAATGGGTTTTTCGCGAACAAAAGAAATATGCATTTACTTTTTTACCCATGTCTAGCTCAATGAATAATAATTTACCTTCTCAAGAAGCAACGCAAATCTTTAAGTCATCCTCTTCAAATGATAAAACATCATCAACTGTCATCACCACTTCAACATCCATTGATAAAATTCAACCTTTTGCGATCAATACCGATGCTGGAAATTCGATCGGAGATGATATTAATAATCGGACATCCATTTCAACAACCGTTGATAAAACGCCTACTGATGCCGGAAATTCAATTGACGACATGTTTAATGGTCCTTTTTTATTTGGAAACGATGATATGAATACTCGGATACCCACTTCAGCAACCGTTGATAAAACTCATCCTTCTACGATCAATACCGATGCCGGAAATTCGATCTACGATTCGTTGAATGAAATAATTCCATGGGATCAGCTTCCTTTGAATGATGATATTAATCGGATTTATGGGACTCTTTTCGACGAATCCTTTATCAGTGATTACCATTTATTCCAGGATATGATTTGAATATCGATTTTACTACCTGTATATCGATATGCCATAACGATAGCGATGCAATATGATAAATTCAAAGAGATATAAGATTTCAAAACTTCACATAAGCATACGCAGTCAATATAGATTTTCCTCGATAACTGTAAATTAATTATTCGCGAATTCATTAATTCGTTATTCCTTTTCCCATTTTTGTTATTCTTTAATCATGTTTTTTCGTCTCATATTCATTGCTATGTATTTTGTTCTGTTCTCAGCTTTATTTATGTTCTTTCGTATTTCATTCCAGTTCTTTAGTAATTTATTCTGTCTGTTCGCCTTAGTTTATCGTTAATTTTTCCTTTGGTTGTTCTTCTGTTCCCCTTTCAGTTCTTTTAAACCTGACTGAAACAAAATCATTTGAATTTGTTACAATCGATATCGATATGTTGTGTTGAAATATCACATGCTTCAACGCCGAGTTGTATGATGCTTTTTTAAATTAAAAGTCTTCAAAAAAAAAGATTTGACTGCTTTAAAGTCTTATTAATAGTAATGACATATTTTGGCGTGTATCCTGTGTCAACATGTCCACGTCGATTTCTGCGTCTTCGGTATCCGCTATGTCGTCCACATCCTGTGTTTAATCCTAAAAGAAAGCGAAGTGAAAAAAATATAAAGAAAATCAAGCAGCAAGAAGGTCGGAGAAGTCGGCCAAAAAGAATAAAATAATAAAGCGACATGAAATACTAAAATATACGTATATGCTATACATCATTTTCAAATTTTTTATGCCATTTTTTACAGATGAATTCACTCGTAAATTACCTGAAAACGCATATTTTTGGATAATTTTCGAATTATTTTTACGGCTTTTAAATTTTCCATGTAAATTTTACATGCGAACTCTCAAGTTTTGAGTTGTAAACGACTTTTTAAGAGTATATTCACTTAAATTCACGTCTTTCTTCGGTTGAAATAACAAATTCCTTCGGAATATTTTTACAGATAGTCTAATTCTTGCATGTTTTTTCAAATTACATGTATATTCTTATAGGGATTGCATTAATGTGAATTTTGAAAAAATCACCATTATGTTAGAACTTAGAGTCCGCTATATCATGTAATAAAATGATTTAATTCCAAAACATATAATTTACACTTGCATCGGGTGTCCACCAAAAACTCAATTAAAGCAGCTGTTAAATAATTAATCTATTGATAATAAATAAAAAGTTTACTCGTATTAAAGTTAGAAAGTCAATGACTTGGAATAAACTAATTTCACTAACCTTCTGCAATTTATAACACAATTTTTTTAAAGCAAATATACAATAGTATAAGAACTAAGTTTAGTGATTGGATATGCTAGATGTATACATAGAGTTGAGAGAAAGAAAGTTAACCTGTTAATAAAATGAAAATTTCTACTAAAATTTTATAAACCATAATAATAAAGGACAATATAGATTGGCTAAGATTATAGGAATAAAAATAGGAATAAAAGGAAAGGTGGGAGAGTCATAAAAAAGAAATGAGGTTGGGAGTATGCGTTTAAAGAAAAGATACTAGTGTAAATACATTCTAGCATTTTTTAATAATAAAAGGAAAAAATAAACTAGTGTACTATAGCAAGTAACTCTTTTTTATGAACCGGGTAATTTTGTTCTGCAGGTGAAAGTTTTCTTGATTCAAAAGCTATTGGTTGATCATCCTTGCCTAATAATAGTAAACTGAAATAGTAAATAAATATATAATTTCTTTATAGAACTAGAAAGTAAAAATTAAAAATTTAATATAATATTATAATTCAAATCAAAATTAACTTTGTATAGTCAAAGAAATAAAACTGAAAACTTGAAATAACAAAATAATGCAATCAAAAAACAAACTTAAAAATAACAAATCAAACCAATAGCAAAAGCTATAATAAAAATACTACATGATTTCAATATTTTGTGAAAATAATTTCATATGTCTAAAATTATAATATAAATAAAGATAATAAGTAATTTTCATTATATATTAAATTAAAATATTAATAATATAAAATTTTTATAAAAATTTATGTAAAGCTAAGATAATATTAAAGGTTAGAATTTGAACATCACAATATTTTTTGAAGTGGATGATTTTCCATATCAATTTTAATAGTTTTAAGAAATTGAATAAGTTTTATTTCTTTTAATCAAAATTAACTGATATTTGAATCAAAATACCTAAATTCACTTATTTATTCTCTGTTACAGTAATAATTATTAGTATATATAATTATTACTATAAAAATTTAATTGAAGTAGAATTTTTGAATCCAACATGATTTTTATGAATAAGTTTGTAATTTATTACCTATTTTTAATGTGAATTACTATTACTAACTATTACTGAAATAATAATAAATTTTATAATTCCTTCTGATTATATCTTTTCAAATATCTTTTTTGAATATTTTACTCTCTACCCTTTGGTAATTTAAGAAGTAGTTTTCATAAAAACTATTACAGAAAATCTTTAGGACAAATTGAAAATCTCTCTCTTTGTAGAGTATTCAGTTTAAGCTTAATTATTATTATATTATGTCCTATTTTTCTTAGATTCAACATCTTTAGAAAGTAGTATAACATTAGTAATATTATTTTTATCCATATTTTTGTCATAATCATAACTATAAAATAGTATAATACATATTTTATTGGATTATTTTAATATGAGTAACTATATTTCAACCCTGAAAATTGTATTACATAAAAATATATATAGTAGTAATCATAATTAAAAAATTTTATCAAATTATTTTACAAAAATTATAATGTATTCTTTTTGTATTTTACTTTTTAATAGCATTATTTTAATATATTAAAATTTTAATAGATATCATTATTTTTTATTTTTTAGATAAATATGAAAATAAGACCAAACTTATATTGCATATAAAAAATAAGTTTATTATGTATTATTTATATATCATATAATATTGCAACTTTTTGGAAAATAAACTAAAACATAAAGATGTCACACAACTTCAGAAGAGGAGTCTGTCAGGATGATCTCTAAAAGTTTGAACCACATGATATTGTTGATTAACACTGGCACTTCCAATCTGCCAATTTTGATTTATAAGATATTTATGTACTACAAGTATATTAAATATACTTGATTAGCACTTGTCTCAGTTTGTAAGGTAAATGAAGAATATAATAAGAATTTGTTCAATTCTTTACAAGTTTTATTAATTACATCAGAGCTTACATTATCTTGTATTAGTGTCATGTTATTTAGTGAAGAGTATTGGTAGAGAAATTCTTTCAGTATTTCTTTAGTATTTTCTATATTAAAGATAAATTTTTTGAATTTAACATTACTATTTTTTTTATAGGTAATGGTAATTAATTATGATTTTAATAAATTATTGAAGAATAATTAAATAAAATTTTAGATAAGTATAATTAACAAATATATATATTTTTAATTATGCTTTCTATATTAATATCATTTTTATTTATTCTTATTATCTTCTATAGCTATAATATCCATATTATTGATTAATATACTCTTGAAAAAATATAATTTTTTTTCATGATTATCAGATTCTTCTGAATATAACAAAAACATTAAGTATAGCTTTCTATTTACTGATATCCAAGTTGATTGTTAATATCTTTATCATTCTGTTATCTGGATTTTCTCTTTTATTAATACTATTCTACTCTATTCCATCATTAAATGAATATGATACCAGTTATTAGCCAACTTTTCAATATAAATTTACTTGATTACCTATTCAAATAATGACTAATTTGATTTAACATAAGTCCAGATCTCTTCCTCTGAATTTTTATTAATAGTAATATTATTAGATATATTATTAATAGTGATTTCTATATTATCAGAATCAGTAACTTAGACTTTTTCAATCTTGGTAGATATAACAAATAAGATATTAATTGTAGTTTCTTCACTTTTGAAATTTCTTAAAACAAGAAATAGTGGAATGATATGATATTTAAAATTATAGTATAGCAATCTTTATCATTTATCATTAGATATAATATTAATTTACTAGACTAAATGCTTATATAGAAGGAAATCACTTCTAAGAAAGACAGAATAACTACAAATCTAGCAAATAACATCAGTAAAATATGAATTATCAAGATTTATTATTTTTATACTGGTATTTTACTTTTTTTTATCCTTGATATGCTTATCAATTTACTAATTATTACTTACAGATACAGTAATCTATACTTTCTTGAAATTATTTCACCATCAAGGTATTATTATATCAGTTAAAATTTGAGATAGTTACTCTTTTTATGCTGATATTATCTTATTAATAAGTATTCAAAGCAGCAAATCAAGTCTTAAATAATTAAAATAGTATAAATAATATTTTTTAATAATATTATTACCGTAGTGACATAAAATCCCTTAATTCCTTAATTTTTCTCTAGTTATAAAATATTACATTTTATTATAATTTTATTTATTACATAATTATCCTTATTTTCTATATTATTTATTACTATATTTATTATCGCGTTTCTGTTTTTAACATTATACATTATTTAATATTCAGGATCTGCATTTTTATTATTTTGTATTACGATATTCATGTATATAGTAGAATAGTATAGTGGAAGACTATTTTTAATTTATGGTAGAACAGTTACATTTGGATAACGATCTCAAACATCTTTTCATGTCCTTTGACGTCCTTTGACATTCTCTTACGTCCTTTTACATCTTTCCATATCTTTTAACGTCTTCTCATATCTTTTCATGTCTTTTAACATCCTTTCACGTACTTTGACGTTCTTCAACATTCTTTAACATCTTTCAACGTACTTTGATGTAATTCACTCATAATTATTTATATTATAGTACTTTAATTATATCTTGTATATTA